GTTTTCTTTTTATATTATTTTATTTGCTTTGGAAGTTGCTGGGATGGGCAAACGACGGAGAAAAAGCCCTGTTAGTAGAATAGACGTGAAAAGGAGAAGATTGTTACGGAAATTGGATAAATTAGATCGCGCTTCGGGTTTACACAAAGAGAGCAGTTGCAGCAGCGATACAGCTGACACGAGATCCGAACGCGGAAGTACACCAATGGAGTCTAATAGCGATTATGGACACTTCGAGGACCTTATTCACGAGGATTCTATTGCTTATCCTGAACAAGGTAAATTGCCTTAAATTGGCATTTTCTAGAGGAATATTCCTCTGTTTTTTAGTCAGTGATATCATTGACCTTGCGACTCGTACGATACTTTTATATAAAGGTACAGTCGCTGTAAGCTGTATTGGTAATATTACCAACTTGTTGCAATGGACATCTTTTCAACACTTTTTTGTATATAGAAAAAGTAGAATTTTCTATTTTTGTTCTTTGATATCAAAGAACTGTATTTTCAGTTTTTTGGTGTGTGGCAAGTGCCATGTGCTTTTATAGATTGGCAAACTTTTCTAAAATTTGTTTTGTTTGTTTCGGTTTTTAGATGAAAATCGAGATCCTAACGAGTCTGTGGAGGAGATTCCCTTATCCAGTGACATTTTGAAAATTATCGGTTGCGATGGAAGTACTAAGGAAACTGGATCGCAGGCAATTAGAAAAGAATTGGTTTCTAGTTGGTCTGATGTTATTAAACGAAGACTAAGTGAAGAAGTTCGTGCAGATTGTGTGCTTCGCTATCCGCCTCCAAAAAATTGTTTGTTTTTGGAAGCTCCTAAGCTAAATTTAGAAGTAGTTGCAGCAGTTAATGATGTGGCTAAAAACCGAGATAATCGACTGATTATTTTTCAAAAGCAGTTGGGTTGCAGTATATCGGCGATTGGAAAAGCTTTATCTGCAATTTTAGAAAAAGAGGAAGAAAAGGACCTTCAGGTTGTGCAAGCACTGAGTGATGCTGGCAAGCTGTTAGTAGATTTGTTCTCTTCCTATTCTTCTACAAGAAAAGAACTTCTTTCTTTGGGTCTAAAAAAGGAGTTCCGAGAAACTTTAAATAGTGCCGAAGTGGATGGATGGCTATTTGGCGTTAATTTAGATGAGAGAGTAAAGGCTTCAAAAAATCTGGAGAGAGTTAGTCGTGACCTTAGACAGATTAAAGCTAAAGCACCGGTTACCAACAAGGAGACAAAAAACTTCACAAGTCGGTCTCATTACCATCGAGTTCGGTGGGACCGCCAACATTTAAATCAACGGACTCAACCCTTTCCAAGATCCCAGAGTCAATATCAAGAAGGAAGATTTCAACGGAGTCAACACACGTCTCAGAGAAGACCTCCCATGAAACGACCCTTCAAACACAATTGAACATTGTAAGTGGATCAGCTGGCAGGTTGGCTAATTTTTATAATATTTTGCACTTAGAACTCTCACAGAGTCTTCAGGTGAAGGTGTCAAGGGGTATCCTCCCCGTGCTCAGGACCCTCGTGAAAGTGTTGGGGAACACAGTAGCACAGGGAAGTTTGGGGATATTCCATATCCCCCAGTATACTCCCCTAAAAAACAAGACGATAGCGTTTTGGGTTAGGGTTATTCCATACTCCCGATACTACTGTCTTCCCCAAGACGGTCGTGAGAGTTCTGATGACTAAATGACCAAACGTAGGCATATCACCGGGGGGTCTTCAGAAAATGACAAATGCTTCATACCCCCCAGTCCCCCCGGTGACGTGTCAACGTTACCAAAACGTTTAGTCATCAGGACTTTCACGACAGTTTTGGGGAATACAGCACCGAGGGGGTCTGGGGTGTGGGTGGAATATAACGGTATGGAATACCCCCCAGTATGTACTCTTCAGCAAAGCAGGGCGATAACTGCTTGAATATTACACTTAGAACTGTCGTAGTAATCTTCAGAGAAATCATCAATTCTTCATCTGCTGGGGGATATTTCATACCCCCCCAGATCCCCCGGTGCTATGGCAACGTTTCCAAAACGTTCAGTCATCAGGATTCTTACGACAGTTTGGTGGAACATAGGAAATAGGTAATCTTCATCTGCTGGGGCGAGGGAGGGGGGATTTGCTAAGCTCCTCGTAGTTTTTGGGCGAGAAAGTACAAATGCAACTTACCGATTTCAATAATTGCAAACTTAAAATGTTAAATCTGCGGCTTAACCGATATCATTTTCAATTCTACTCCGAAATCGAGAATGAGAAGACCTTCGTGTTGAGCCTTTAAGTCTGATTTTTAATTTTCAAACCGGAAAATTAGCAGAATAAATTTGGTTTTCCACTTTAATCAAGAAAATAACGAGAAGAAGAATAAAGAGAAGAAAGAAAAAATCAAAAACGGAGAAAATGCACGCGTAAATGCACATACCTTCTGCACTCAACAAAAAAAGAAGAATGCTGGTGACCGTGTCTGGAAGAAAAATTCGCCGAACGTACGGTCTACGTTTGGTGGATTTATGTACCGGAGGTCAAAACACAATTATATTCGAAATGGTTTGTTCCCAACCACACAGTTGGTGCTAATCGAATAACATTGACGTAGGAAAATTTCCAAAATTAATGGCGTTTTTAAAACGAAAAGGCGATGGATATAAGCCTAAAAAATCAAAGGTATTAACAGCTGAACAGGTAGATAAGTTTCTTATCGAAGCTCCCGACAATGATTACTATTTAGTAATAAAGGTGGGCAATTGATTTCAAGCGAAATGTGTTTTAAACAATTATTGTTAGGTTGCACTTATTGTAGGCGCTTCTGGTGCATGTCGCACGTTGGTGGGATTTTTGTTCAAGACAGAAACTTGATGTTTTTATTAGTTCTCCCAAGGATGTTTTAGTTTTTCTTTCTTTAGAGTTTGATAAAGGGGCCTCTTTTGGCACGTTAAATTCGATTCGTGCAGACAACTCAACCTTGGTTTCCCTTGTTTACATCCTTGTTAGTCAAGAAACCATTAATATTTGAACCTAACATAAAACTTCTTTCTGTTAATATGGAACCTCACCCCTTATGGAGAAGAATTTCCCTGGTGGCAGGTCTCTTATCCGGGAGGCGTTAAAAAGGAAAGAAGTTCCTTTAGCCGCAGTGGAAATTTGTTTATCTTCTATTTCTCTGAGTACATTAAGACAATATAATAGTGGTCTAAAACGTTGGTGGGATTTTTGTTCAAGACAGAAACTTGATGTTTTTATTAGTTCTCCCAAGGATGTTTTAGTTTTTCTTTCTTTAGAGTTTGATAAAGGGGCCTCTTTTGGCACGTTAAATTCGATTCGTGCAGCGTTAGGCCATGTTTTAAATCTCCGATACCCAATAAAATCAAAACTACGGCAAAAAATCGTTATCAACCCACGTTGTTCATACCGTTTTTTAAAGAGAGGCCTACTATTTGTGTCGCTTCTGCTATAATGTGTCGCTGTAAATCAAATAATTAGATAAGTTGACTGTAAATACTTAGCACTTTCTTAGAAGATTTAAGGAGATTAAACGGAAATAGTAAATATATAACTATAACCTGGAGAAACTGAAAACGTACAATTGTTAAATTTTATAGGGCAATTATTACACTCCTTAATTTCTACTCCTGGAACATGGGTAATTTTTGTAGAAGACACTTATGAATCTTCAATGTTAATTGTTGTAGACGATGATGCTGCGGTTTTAGAATACTGCGCTTGTGGACTTCGTGAGAGTGAATTTTCTTAGATAGTTAGCCTTGTATGTAAAACCCAATTAGGCTCGCTTCTAAGGATTTCCATCACGATAACATACTATTACAGTTTATCATTAAAACCAATGCTACTAATAAAACGTAGAGTATTTAGGCATTTGTCATTGGTATTAAGATTTTCCGCCCAAGTATCACTTATTTTGTTAAAATCTCGCGCATTCCTATATTCCGGGCAAACGTGGGGAAATGCTCCTTACCAAAGACAGACTCCACAGTGGCCATTGTGGCCCCACCCGCCAACAGAAATCCGTGGGTCAGAGCACTGTGACCGAGTCGAAGTCTGAATAGTCTCGTTAAGGCCAGACGAGCCATGCCTAAAGGAAACAAAGGCCCTATTTCAGCTTTGACCCTTTTCAGAAAGGCATCAGACTCCGCCCACTGTCCATTCCAGCGTTCATACACACGCGCTTTCACAACCCCACGTCGTGCTGTTATAGTCATGTCTACAATGTCGGCATATTCCAGTTGTAGATATGCAAACTCCTCTCTAGCTCTTTCTCCTAAGGACCTACATCTATACAGACGGGCGCGCGTGGTTACGTTTCTTAGCAGATGGTAATTCGGATGATTACCATCCATCGACACTTTGAGGTAATAATTTACCACGATCTGCTTTCTTCGAAGAGCTAGAGGAAGAATGTTTGCCTCAACGTATAGTGACTCGACGGGACTGGTCGGAAAGGCTCCAAGGGAGTATCTTATGGCAAGATTCTGTATTCTGTCCAGCTTGCCAAGCAACGTATTACTACTACATGTAGAATACACAGAACATCCGTAGTCGATCCTTGATAGTATGAGACCTTTATATAGGTCTAGCAGCGTCTTGGGATGCGCTCCCCACTTGTGGTGAGCTAAGACTCGGATGACATTCAGGGACTTTCTACATGTAGTAGCAACGTTCTGTATATGCGCGGACCAGCGTAGCTCTCTATCGAACGTTAGACCCAGGAACTTGACCTCTTGGACCACGCTTATTATGCGGTCATTCATAAATAAAACCGGGTCATAATGGGGTTTGCGAAGTCGACAAAAATGTGCAACCTTCGTTTTCTCCTCTGATAACACAAACCCAACAACGTTGGCATTATTACATATTTGATTTATCGCCACTTGTAATTTACGTGTTATAATACCGACGGTCTTATCTGCACAAAAAATCGTCAGGTCGTCGACGTATAAACATTTTCCGATTTCGTCAGCAACACCTCGAGCTATTTCGTTGATGGCAATGCCAAACAGGGAACAGCTAAGTGTGGAGCCCTGCGGCACCCCATTCTCTAAAACGTGCTCGTTTGAATAAGCGTCGCCAACTCGTACGACAAATTTCCTATTTTCCACAAAAGATTGTATAAACTTTGGCAGATTCCCTCGTAGATTATATTTGAACATATTTTGTAGTATACCATACCTCCAAGTCATGTCGTATGCACCCTTGATGTCAAAGAAGACCCCAACCAGGTGCTCGCCACTGTCGAACGTATTCAGAATACGATCGCTCAACTTGACCAGATGGTCAATAGTTGATCGTCCCTTCCGAAAACCGGTTTGATATGGGACGTATATATTGTTACGTTCGAGGAACGTTTGCAACCTCCCGTTTACCATCTTTTCCAACAGTTTGCCTAGACAAGAGGTCAAACTTATTGGACGGTAGTGTTGTGCTAACAGCGGGTCTTTTCCCGGCTTCGGTATAGGGACTACAACTGCCTGTTTCCATTCAGAAGGGTAAGTTGATTCGATCCAGCAGGTATTAAAGAATTTTAAGATGATCTCTTTCATTTCAGCACTACAGTGACGAAGCATCTGGTTATGGATACCATCTCCTCCCGGTGAACATGACTTGGTGTTACGGATTGCTTCATCTAGATCTTCTAGGTTAAAGGGTAAGTTATCATCTAGAGTTTCATCGGTATCAAAGTTTATAGGTGTCAATTCTTTCTCGATTTTAGCCTCTAGAAAAGTACGAGGATAATTGAGTGAACTGCTAACTTTATAGAATTGATCGGCAATAATGTTACTTATTTCCTGCAGGTTGTTGGTAACTACCCCATCGGAGTTACGCAGAAATCTGGGATAAGCGCAGCCGATTTTACCGGATATTGCTCCTACCTTCTTCCAGACTTCGCCAATGGTTGTCTCCGGTGTGATGGTGGAAACGTATCTTTGCCATGAGTTTCTTTGTGCCTCTAATATCCGCCGGCGACACTCGGATCTTCGTTTTTTAAATTCGATTAAATTCTCCATTGTAGGATGGCGACGGAACCTATTTATTGCTCTTTTCTTTAATAAAATTTTTTCTTTTATTTCAGGTGACCACCACGGAACCATCTTCCTTATATTGCCAGGTTTAGATCTTGGAATGCTGGCCTCGGCGGCATTTAAAATAGATGAGGTTAGCGTTTGGAGATTTACCTGGCTTGGCGGGACGAGCAGCCGTGTGAAAAGTTCCCAATTTGCTTGTTGCATTTTAAATTTGGCTATTGTTCTCACAGGAGTGTTCCTGCCTTGCAAGGTAATAATTATGGGAAAATGGTCGCTATGATGCAGATCACTTTCCACTTCCCATTTTACGCTTGCATGTATCGCCGGTGAACATACCGATATATCGATGGAATCGAAAGTACCGGATCTCACATTAAAGAACGTAGCTGAATCATCATTCAACAAGCTTAAATTTTTATCCTCGATCAGATCTAACAACTCCCTGCCACGAGCATCGTCTGAGCGGGAGCCCCAAACGGTGCTTAAGTCTTTTAGTAATAGCACTTGATTTATACTCATTATCTCTTACTAAGCTAATCGTCCAAAATGGAAATTGTATTATTTAGGTATTATTAAATGTTGTTGCATCTTTAAACATCTACACTTTTATTTATGAAACGAGAGCAACTTATAATTATTGGATCAAAGGAACTTACCTATGTGAAGTTCGATCCAAATTATTAGTTGCTCTCGTTGAAATAAATAAGTCCCACCCATCCCTAACCCTTTCAGCAACAACATTACCTTTAAAGGAATGACACTTAACGACAGAGCGCCGGCGCAGGATGGTGGCGTTGGTTTTCTTTCTATAAACGTTGTGGTTCAGTGGCGTAGAAAAGGGGGTACTACACTTTTATTTATTTCAACGAGAGCAACTAATAATTTGGATCGAACTTCACATAGGTAAGTTCCTTTGATCCAATAATTTTTATATAGAACTCTTTTTGTTTTATTATTTATTTACTATCTCTTGTTCTGGACCCTCAATAGGCTTGCGTCCAATTACAGGATGACCCGCATAATACTTTTTTGATTAATGTCAAGCTGTCCGTGATGACGGGAGTCATTATAGAGTTATAGACGTTTAACAATGTCACAGATGCGGCCGGTCAAGTGACAGGTGCGGGCAGTAATGTGACAAGCGGCAGGAAACGTAGTATGCTCTGCCTCTGTCATGGAAACTAAAATTTCCTGATATAAAGTAGGCATGAAAATAAAGCTTTCAGAACGATTTTGAGTAATAGTATATTATTATACGAGCATGTTATGACACTTATTATTCACGAGGTTGACGTTTGCGACGCGAGCGAGCTTGCGAGCGAGTGGAGCAAGGAAACCGAGTGAATAAGAGCCATAACATGCGAGTGTAATACTATACTTTATCTACGACTATTACTTCAATTAGATTAATATTTTATTAGCATTTACATTACAATAAATAAGCAAAAATAACTGAAATGAAAACAAAGTAAGCAGGATTTGATTCTAAATGAAAGATTTCTTATTAACGTCGAATTATGGCGAAGTAAGTTCTGTAGTAGATCTTGAAAAATTAACATGGTACCGTAATTAACAAATTTTATAGAATTTGGTTGCAAGTTTGTTTGAGCATGGGTCCCAAAATGTGCATTTGCATTTAATACGTTAGTACTACAAGATGTTCCGGATGATGATGCTGCAGGTTGTGGAGCGATATTGGAAGTAGAAATCACAGAGCTTGAAATTTTTTTAGCGGTATCCAACTTATTTGTCAAGGAAGTATCAACGTATCCTTCGGTTACGGCTGTTGACTTCCAGCCACCGTGTCTTTTCAAAGCCATGATATCTCCACCAGCATCAATTAGAATTGTTGCGGATGTTCTTCGGAAACAGTGACCGGTGTATAAATCAGTGTTCGTAAATCTCAAAAAGGTAGCAATGTCTTTGGGCATTTTCGCAAATTTGTTAATTCCAATTTTTTGGCTTGTGCATTTTCCCTTTTGAAAATTTAAAAAAAGAAGGGGGATTGAACGGTAGGTGGGCGCAATTTCGCATATTTGTTGTATATATCAAAGAATTGAACCGTAACTGTAAACGTTCGGAGAATTTTAGTTTTAGTTTTAGGTATTGTGATAATAACTCCCCCTTCAAAATCCTTAATATCCTCAACTTTCATGTCACTTAACTCACAATGCTCACAGTCTCCATTCCATAAACTTTCCATATACGTGTTCGTACTTCGTTCGAGACTTTTTGGGCAATAAATTTGAACACACTTCTTCTGCCTGTTGCATAACCTCAGGAGGTGTATCCACGGCCACGAGTTCATTATTTTTGTGCTCACTATCGAGGTCCATTCCTAACTTATGAATAAACTAACGGAAAAATACTAGCGAGAATGATTGTCACGATAATTGACATTTTCATGTTTTGTTTTCAAGGAGCGCGCTATTTTGGAACCATTGAGTTATGAATATTATTCAATGGTTTGCAACCAATCATAGCCCAAGATTCCATAACTGCATAGCAATTAATTATGGGTAGCATTATTTTTAGAAATAGAGGCATATTATAAGCGCATAATTTAATGGTCGTAGATAAAGATAATTCTTTTATATTTAATTTCAATCCGATTCAGATTAAACATTCCATGTGACGTCGATCCGCTACTAGGATTTCGGGCAAACTTTAACGGACCAATAAGCTCACCTTTGGTAAATGACAATAGATACAGGATTCCATTTCACAGTACTAGATTACCGGCAATTGATTTTTGGATAGGATAGCAGAAATTAAACGACGGGTGAACTATTTAAATCGGCCATAGAACTATTTACGGTGATGCCCTTATTTGGTTTTGTGCTAATAAAGACGTTATTCAAAATTGATATCATCTTAGAAGTGCTTTTTTACCACCATATTGTGCTAACTGGTTATGGGATTAAATACGAAATCGAACTCAAGGTCGAAATCAAGGCGTTATAATATTTATAACTGTCATAGGTCTCTTTAAAAGAATACCCCTTTCGCCACCACGCGAGAATCGATCCAATTAGAAGGAATTTCTTTCTACCGCATTTCGGGACTTTTTTGGGCAACATTGTACCGTTTGTCTGTGGGTTGTCGTCCATGGGTGTAAAAAAGTACCGAAACTATTGCAGCAATTCTGTATTTTAAGTTGGACACTTCGTTACGAAGATTGTCGTTACGAAAATATTTTTTTCTGTGTAAGTCGGAAATATAATGTAGAAATTAGTGGGTTAATGTGTATAGCCACTTGTTATTTACATTTTAGGTCCATTAATAATCCATTAATCGATTTTAGTTTTCTAATGGTATACGAAAATTCAGCATTAAACCGGCAAAGTCGTGCATTTTAAGAAAAACATCAACGTGTGATAACAGATTACGCCGCTTCACCTCACAATCCTAGGAACAAAAGGGCATTGCTGTACTGCCGAATTTGAAGATTTCATTCCGACTATTTGGATAATTATAATTAACCATAATTAGTTGAATGGGATACAGGATAACAACCTCCGATTAAGTCGAGATTACACCCGATAGGTGCACACTAAAAAAACTTGAATTTTGACACGTGTCCCGTATTTTTAAGACTGGGAAGGAGGTAATTAATTAAAGAAGTTGTAATCTTATGATGTAGATAACCTCATAAGCCGACTTGGATTTTCCTACGTTCCGTCCGCCGCATACCCTAACTTTATATAAGGTAAACGCTTCATTTAGAGGGGATCTTTTGCATTTTTTGGTTAACCTAAACTTAAAATTTGTTGCCTTTTGGTGTTTAACCGATTTAAATCTTATGCTTTCTACCTTTTGCATATTTAGCAATTACGTTTTGTAAGTACCGTAATTCTGAGCTTTTCATAAATTTATTTTTGCATTGAAACCGTTTAATTTTTGCTTTTACATTAAGTTTACTGCACCCTATTTAAAGCTTTTGCTTTTTCTTGTGCAGTGATTGCTAACGCTCCGTTAATTGCTTTGGTAAGCTTTTTGCTACTTTCCGTTTAATTGATTATGTAGGGGGGGGGGGTCCAGAAGCAAGAGAGACAGAAAACTTGCGTTGACCACTAAGATAAAATGATAGAATTATAGAGCCATATAAAAGTGACCAGTCATCCCCAATGTTACTCCTTAAAAAATCCAACGGAGAATTCCTTGCTTGTTTAGATGTTAGCTGGTGGCTTTTAGTTAGGCAAATATTAGATACCTAGTTTAAACGGAACCAAAAGGCATTTCCCGTGACAGGGTGCGGATTTGAGTTAAATCGTACTAGATTGTTTAGTTGGGCAACGGGATGATGCTGAACACCTAATCGGCGCAGTCATACCAGACTCTTATCAAAGAGATTTTTGGACATGCGAGGAAAAGACATTTTTTACAAAAATTATGGAAATTAACAACTGCGTTCTTGGGAAACATATGATTGGCAGAATTAGTCAACGCGTCTTATTATTAATCGTAGTTACGATATTTTATCCTGGTTATGCATTAGGTATTAAAGATTATCAATTATTAAGGGAAATAATTAGAATTCGGTTCTTAATACACTTTAGTATTGATTTTATGCAGAGTTGTTACGTATCGTAAACTGAAGTGTGGTGTCAGAATCTAAACCAAACAAAAAATGGATGTGAGATACTGTAAACCTGGGAGCATCTAAAGGCTCTTTTCGTCTCGTAGAGACATCAGTAACTTATCCCCAATGACTGAAGACGTAAGAAAAAACCGCGATCGGTAACGAAGCCAGTTTATTTTTTTAGACCCCTATAAGGGGCGTTAGATGTCGCCTGCTGCCGTCCCATCCTGAAATTGAAATCCCTCCTTATCCTTGCCCCCTATAAATGCATCAATTTGTATTTCACCTCCTCGTTTCCTTCTTCCTGTCCTTCGTGGTTGCAGAGAGAATCAACTGGGTCCTTAATAGGGCGTTGTTTGAATTGCTCGGAAGAATCCTTTTTTAAGAATGTATCCCAGGTAAATCCTAAGCTGACCTTATTTGGAAATGTTAAGGGCAGTGGACTGGACCTGGACGTTTTAAGGAAAACCAGATTCCGTGGTAAATGGCTTTATGGTCAGGTGCATTGCGCCAACTATAAAGTTTGACTAAAATTATGTTGAAGACGTACAATTGATTTTAGCTCCGCGAACCAAATAAATAATAAATAAAATAATAAATAAAAAAGCACACACTGATAATTCTACTGTGCCTCGTAGTGCCACGACACTAGGTTGCCAACTATAAAAACCCTCCTCTTTATTCTTAGACCATATCCGCCTTGAAATGTTCATTCTACTGGAAGTAGTCAATTTAGAATGGAACAAAATGTCGGAACGAACATAGACCATAATAAAAAAAAATAACATTGGTCGATTCGTACAGCTGACAAATGATCTACCGAAAAGAAATTCGTTTCCTGACATTAGATCATACATCGTATAATTAACGACGTCGATGTGGAAACGTACATAAGTACTCAACACAAAACAATCTCAGTCAATTGTTCCAATTTGCAGTGAATTACCTTCAGCCTCTACTAGGCGAAACAAGCACTCTGGAAAGTCGATTCTGTTTTCCATGAAGTGGAAGTT